ACAATCTTGTGCATCAATATTTCCTAGATCAACGATTACCAACTAATCAAAGATTATTTTATTTAGCTGTAAACCAACAAATATGAGAATTAGAATTTATACAACAATACAATGATTGAATAAATTCAAAGAATTTAAATAGTTATTTGAACCACACAAAACTAACTAGCAGTTGCAATTATTCCCCACAATTATAATTCCAACTATGTTAGGTTTGAACAAAATCAAGAATACCAGCGGCTATTTAAAAGAAATTAGTTAATGAAAAAAAAATATAAAGAAATGCAAGCCACACATAGATACAATGAGATGAATTCCTTTGAAATTAGGTTTAGCGTACTTGTATTACATTCAAAGAGAAAGCAAATCTTACTTACATAAATATTGAAACTATAACAAGAAATTATATTGAATCAAATTGACTTTAATTGCCTTGAATACCATTGCATATGTCAAACTTTCAAATGGAAATTCACTGCCCCAAAATCATGAGGTTGAAATTAGTGAAACTTTCATCTGTAAAAGACCTACGCCCCAATACTTAATAGGGGAAATCGAGCCACAAATAATTCTTCTTGAAATCAAACAATATGGAATATTAGAATTCCAATTACAAGCAACATAGGGCCTCGAATAAGTAACAAAATTTGCTACATGCTACAAAATAAAAGATTGCTGGTTTCAAGTCGGAATTGCAATGGAACTCTCATCTTAGAAATATTTGTCAGTCTAAGAAAAAAGTCATCCGCGAAGATACCTAGACTATGATCACCTCATATTATAAATATTTGCCAGTCTAATTAAAAAGTCAACACACAGATACCTAGACTATGAACCCTCATCTTACAAATACTTGACAGTCTTATAAAACGTCAACCACCTAGATATCTAAAGTATGAATCGTTTTAATGATGAGGACACCCCTTCTCATATGCCTTTCTCATAAGCATGTCCCAATAACTAAAATTTGAAAATTACGAAATAAAAAAATTAAATAAAGCCTTCCTTAGAGTTTTTATTTATTTTCTTAGATGCTGCTGTCACGTGTAAACTCAAAGATCACACACACACACCACTCACGCTGCATTATGTGGAGCATCTTTCTCCTTCTAAGATTTCACAGCTTTGTAAACTCGTAGAATAATTCATAGTTTACACTATTTTTGTATATGGTTCAGCTGTTATTCTTCAGGATTACTAATAAAGCTTATTTATCCCTAGGGTCTGGTGAGGCACTATCTTTGATGAAGCAGTTGGAAAAATTGGTTGCTAATCAACCGGGAAAACTAGGCAATTTAAGGTTAATGGTTGTTTACAAAAATTCTCAGAAGATGCTAGCAGACGTGCTTGGAGCTGCTGATGACATAACATTGTATTATTATCACCATTCCACTTCATACAAGTACCATGGGAGGTTTGCTGCTGAAAAGATCTTGTTTTCAGTAAATTATTTTATGTCACTTAAATCTGAAGAGGTTCCTTTGAAGCACCTGTACACTCAGAAAGAACTTGAAATTTTTTTGAAATCAACAGATAAATCAGTTCTTCTAATTGAGTTATGTGGATGGTCAAGCAAACTGTTGCATAAGAAAAGTATTAAGAACCTTATTTCTACCCGGATGGATTACGCAGAGAATGGTTTGTTTTCTCAACTGATACATTCTACTTCCAATATCTTTTGAAATTTATTTATCATCAATGATGCAATCCTCTTAAGCTTTTTTGTAATTTTGAAGGAAGAATATGTTATATGTCAACTTCAATGTGTGAATCTATTCTATTCAAATCATGCATTGATAATTAACATTTAATTTTGTTATTTTTATGTTTCTAAGTAACTCTATTATATTATAGGTGAGAGTGTTAAAGTGAATCTGTGATTCAACTTGAAAAATAGTGTTAGAAATTATCATTATTAAAGATATTATATGACTAGAACATGCTGAAGATTATATAATGTAAATTGACTAATGCTTTGGGCATGTACAATAGATGATAAGGGATGTTCCAAAAAGATGTATATAGTTAACATTAATGTAGAAGAATAAGATAAAAAAATAGATTGATGGTAACATGGCTTTTAATTTTTCAAAAGAAAATTGCATAATATAGTTAATCTTATATCATAGTAATTGTGTGCAAGAAAATTTATGGTGGTAGAGGGAGAGATTAATGTTTTAACATTATATGAAACTTTAACACAGATAAAGGAAGAGTTGAAGGAGGGGACACTTAGTCTTTATGAGGAAAACCCAGAAAAGAAGAAATCGTGTGGCCTGACATGAAATGATGAAGGAGATGATTGGCTGGATTGATGAAATATTTTGAATGAAAAGTAGATCAAAATTAAATGAGATATATAGTAGGGGATTTACATACACACCACACGATTCTTTGATATTACATATCTGATATCTAAACTTTAATTTGTAATACTCAAATTTTTTCAAATCACCTCAAAATTTATAATTATTATGAACTTTTGATTCCACTAGTATGTGTTATAGTTTACAAAGGGCTTCTTTTCCCATACTTAGGGTAGGCAATGAGAAATTGTAATAAGTATAATCGTGAAAAATGAGCTCTACGATGTGAGTCGGAGAAGCCTGAAGGTTATGGAGTTGTCTTCAAAAGAGCATTTGAGGAATGCTCAGTCTTCATTCTTTGAGAAAAGGAGTCAGGAGACTTAGCAATTTACTGTTATCCTGACGTGAGTGACATAGTTTTACCATATCAACAATCTTGTGCATCAATATTTTATGTTGTTAGGTGATGTTGTTGAAGGATGTTGGGGTTGGTTTGACGCGTGTCGGAGGCCAGATGGCCATAGTGAATCGGCAATGATTAGAAGACTATAAATGAGTGATTGCGGTTTAATGATTGTTGTTGGATAATGGAAGTCAGACATTCATAGTCCGTCGACGGTAGTCAGGGGATTGTAGTTTGATAGCAATGGTAAGAAATTTGCTATAAAGTGATTGTAGCTGGGTGTTAAATATCGGGAAACTGTTGTTTGACAATAGAAATTGCGGTATCATAATCTGGTGATTGAGGTTAGGAAGTTGTAGATGGGTGAATGCTATTAAGTGATTATAGTTGGGCTGGTGTAATCAAGTAACAAGAGTTTGGAGACCGTAGTCTGGGAAGGAGGTTAGGAAACTGTTATCAAACAACTGTAGCATGGCACCGAATGTCTGGCAACTATAGTTAGGTGATAGAAGTTTAGGGTTCGTAGATAGAGATCAGGAAGTTTAGACAGACTACTATTGTAAAGACACTGTTGTTGGGCGATGAAAGTCGGGAAGCTATAGCTGGGTGATAGAGGTTGAGAGATCTAATGTAAGCAAACTTTTGATGGCAATATAGTTAATGGTGTTGGTCCGACGACAATGGACTAATGACGTTGGTTAGATGATAACTGTTCGATTGTAGTAGTCGAATGAAGGTGGTTCAACCATGACGACAAGGCAAAGATGTGGTGATGGCAATCTTACAGTGGTAATGGCAGTTTCATGATAAAGAAAATTTGGTGGCAACGATGATCCAATTGTTGTGGTGGTGATGGTGATATGATAATGATGGTAATGGTGGCTTGGCGGTGAGTGGTAGCTGCTTATTGGTGATTCCGTGACAGAGGTGGAGGTAATGACAACAATTTGATGGCGACGACGGTCTGATGGTGGATGTAGTAGCGACACGACTACGATTCATCAACATTGGTTGTTTGACGTTAACGGTGGTGATGGTGACGGCGATGCAATGATTGCGATGGTGATCTGAATTTGAGAATGGCTTAGTGGTGGTTGTTCGTTTATGCTGAATGGGTTGAGCTTAGGAAATCTCAATGCCTCAGAGCTCTCATAAGGTTTTCTACTTCAAGAACAAGTTCCTTATCTTTTTATGTGGAAAGTAGGGCTTATTTAAAAATTTTAGAAGTGAGATCTTTCACAAATATTATTGCTTTTAAGAACATCCATCAGATGATTATGAGCAATTTTCTTATGTTTTGACATTTTTTTAAGCCATTTAGTGTCTTAATGATGGCAAAATTGCTTTCTCATGAGCTTGTTAGATTCTTTTTGCTGAACCACTCAATTTGATTATATACTTGCTAACATAAGGGATAATTTGATCCTCCAATCAATTTCTCAAACATTCTTATTATGCTTCGAATGCTTGATTTATGCTTGTTTGGGTTCAGATTGAATCACTTTTGATGCTGTGAAGCACTAATGAAAACATTCAGTTTGATTAGAAATTTGATGAAATTCGAGTTCTGATGGTTCTATAGTTGACCGTAGAATTCATCAAATTTTAAAATGCATCGAGGTTCGTACTTGATCAAGTGCATTTTTTTTTATGTATCAACACTAAACTAGGATTAATGGAGAAGTGCTTTTATAAATCTCACCTCAAATAATTATTCAACAATCACCCATTTAACTTTGTGAATGCCCAGCGTAATTTTTATTAGTTTTTTTGCCACATGGTAATGTAGTAAAAATGGAAAATATTAAGAAAGAAATAAGATGGACAAGTATGCTAGGATTTTTCAAGTTCTACCCTTTTTAAAGATCAAATATTATATACCCACTTCGATTCTCTTAGCTACAAATCACTCACTTCTAGAGACCGGTAGTGATAAAATACCATAAGTAATTATCATAAATTATTTCGTGTGGATCATCAAGTGGTAGGTGCTAACTTTGACCGGATAGATGTGAAATGATCTCAAAAGAACACCAACGAGCTTATTTTGAAGTATTGATGTAAGAATTGACACACAGATTACTTTGAAAAACTAAAGAAAGACACCCATTAAAACATCGATATGAAATATTAGAGGCTAAAATATTAGTGAATGCTATCTTCACTTTTCATATCTTATTGTTTGTAAAGTCTGAATAGTGGTTTCGGTCTCTAGTTAAGTTATTTCAAAGCGATCTTGCATAAAGTGATCCAAAATTTTAGCTTCTTTACCAATTTGTTGCATATTGATCTTGAAAATAAACTCAAAAAATATAGGAAGCTGGAAAAAGTTGACTAGATAAGCAAACAATGTGCCTATACAATGACATAATCCTCCTGAAATTCTTCTGGCCTCAAACTTGATATATGTTTACTTTAATGAATGCATTGCAAATTAGTTCAATCAATGTGAATGCCCAGCGTAATTTTTATTAGTTTTTTTGCCACATGGTAATGTAGTAAAAATGGAAAATATTAAGAAAGAAATAAGATGGACAAGTATGCTAGGATTTTTCAAGTTCTACCCTTTTTAAAGATCAAATATTATATACCCACTTCGATTCTCTTAGCTACAAATCACTCACTTCTAGAGACCGGTAGTGATAAAATACCATAAGTAATTATCATAAATTATTTCGTGTGGATCATCAAGTGGTAGGTGCTAACTTTGACCGGATAGATGTGAAATGATCTCAAAAGAACACCAACGAGCTTATTTTGAAGTATTGATGTAAGAATTGACACACAGATTACTTTGAAAAACTAAAGAAAGACACCCATTAAAACATCGATATGAAATATTAGAGGCTAAAATATTAGTGAATGCTATCTTCACTTTTCATATCTTATTGTTTGTAAAGTCTGAATAGTGGTTTCGGTCTCTAGTTAAGTTATTTCAAAGCGATCTTGCATAAAGTGATCCAAAATTTTAGCTTCTTTACCAATTTGTTGCATATTGATCTTGAAAATAAACTCAAAAAATATAGGAAGCTGGAAAAAGTTGACTAGATAAGCAAACAATGTGCCTATACAATGACATAATCCTCCTGAAATTCTTCGGGCCTCAACCTTGATATATGTTTACCTTAATGAATGCATTGCAAATTAGTTCAATCAAATTCAGTGGTGTTGAAGGTCTACGAATAATAGAAAATTAATTCAATATGTATTGATTCTATTCAAAATTTCTCAAACATCATTCATGTCACAAAACTGATCATGCAGATGCGATTAAAATGTTGACAATGCCTAGAAAGGAACGTCACAATTGATTCAATCTAATAAAACCAAATGGGGGTTTTTATTTTGGAGGTATGCAATGTAATAACCAATTTTGGAGAGACTTGATAAAAATTTTAATGACTGAAAATTCACTCTAAATTTTAGATCCCTCGAATTTCAATAAAAAAAATTTCATAAAATTATACTCTAAAAATTGATCAATTTAATATGCAATAATATATGTAAATTTTGAATGAATTGAAAGTTATAAAAAACAGAAGTTATAAGTTAATTAAACATAATTAAACCTTAATTAATCATCACTAATCTCACATTATTGTTCCCAATAGACTTTACCTATGCGTATATGTGTTGAATAGGGTAATCCTCCATCCAGGCTCTCGAAATTTCTCCTCCTTTCTCTCGATATTTCTCTCCCTCCCTCTCTTTTTGCTCGACAGAAGGCCCAGGGTGGGGAAGCTGCGATCGCAACACTACCTATAGCCGTAAACAGAAAGGGGTGAGCGACTCAGTTGAGTTGCATGAGCTGCAGGGTGCCAAACTTTCCGCTCTCAGTTTCTCTTTTACTCGTGATCTACAGTTCACCTCGCTTGTAAGGATTTCACTACACTTGCTACAGTACCGTGGCGAGCAGAAGAAGT